ACTCATTCACGCCTTCATCTCCTCCCGCCTGGACTATTGCAACTCACTCCTCTACGGCATCAGCACTACATCCCTCAATAGACTTCAGCGTGTCCAGCCGCCAGACTTCTCACCCACACCAAATCATGGCATTATATCACCCCGGTCCTCAAAGAACTCCACTGGCTCCCCGTTTCACACCGCATCCAAGACGAACTCCTGGTCCTCACCTACAAAGCCCTCCACCACCTGCCCCCCCCCCCCCTACCTCACTGACCTCCTCATCCTCTACCAACCACCCCGGTCCCTCAGATCCACCTCAGCCGGTTTGCTCTCCATCCCTAAGGCCAAACTCCGGAGTTTTGGGGACAGAGCCTTCTCTGTGGCAGCCCCGAAGCTCTGGAACTCTCTCCCCCAGGACCTCCGTGAGTCTGAGTCCCTCACCCTGTTCCAGTCCCGCCTCAAAACCCATCTCTTCAACTCTGTATATCCATAAGCCCCCCCCCCTCTCAACCAACTTCCTCCTGACTGCTTTCTTTTTCTTTTTTTTCTGTTTTTTTTTTTTCTTTTTCTTTTTTTATTGCCTGTCCTTGTTTGTCTACCCTTCCCCAAATGTAAAGCGTCTTTGGGTTCGTGAAAAGCGCTATAAAAATACAATTTATTATTATTATTACCCATATAGGCGGAGCACCCCTTTTCTGACGTCAGAAAAATTCAAATCTGTATCAGCTCCATTGCAGCCCCGTTTTTAGAGATTTGGGTATGGAAGAAAAGAGAGAGGGTTGTGTTTTCTGACACTTGGTGAGTTCCCTGACACACCGGGGACACATATTCATGTATAAAAGACGTACAAAAGTGCAGTAACGCAGTGTAGGCGGAGCCGTGACGTCATTTTCAATGAGAACCACAGAAAAACAACATCAGCCGTTAGCTGTTAGCACTCAAGCTCACAGCTCCTCATATCTGTTCAGAAACTAGACAAAAGTTAAACAAGTACAAACTAGGGGTGGGCGATACCACAAAATCTGGATTCGATCCGATACCAAGTATTTCAGGGCCAGTACCGCCGATACCGATACTTTTTTTAATGAAAAGCGTCTTATGTACTTTCATGTAGGGGAGAGCTGCATGACATGATTTGTTAGCTGAATGCATCATAAATAGACTAAATCTGAATTCATTTTCATGATTAAAGACAGGACAGTTTTTATAGACAAATAAACGTTTTACTTTTGCAAATTTAAAGTGCAAACATGAAAAATAACAATACAAAGTGGCCACAGTAGCGAACTGCCTTCTTGCACACATCACAGTTCGCTAAGTTTTAATTGACAGTAGTGAAATAGCTCCACACAACGCTCCTCTTTCTCTCAGCCATCATGCACGTGTGTGTGTGTGTGTGTGTGTGTGTGTGTGTGTGTGTGTGTGTGTGTGTGTGTGTGTGTGTGTGTGTGTGTGTGTGTGTGTGTGTGTGTGTGTGTGTGTGTGTGTGTGTGTGTGTGTGTGTGTGTGGGGCAGTGGGATACAGCATCAGGCAGTTATAAATGGCCATCATTTCGTGCGACACACACACACTCGATTTTATGGGGCCAGAAAAACTGTGAAATAGTACCCGCTAGCCGGAACTACGCCAAGTGGAAACGCAACCAAAAACGGGCCGGGCACGGCACGGCATGCTTAAAGCGAGCTCCGCACTGTAGTGGAAATGCGCCATTAGACCCCCTTCTCTGCCTCTGCCTTGCCCCCGGGCTGTCCGCCCGAGACCCCCCTTCTCAGCCTTTCCCCGGGCCGTCCGCCCGAAACCACCTTCTCCGGCCATCCGCCTGAATAAAAGCTCGCTTTTTGTTTATATTCCTATATCCAATGTTTTTGTCCTGCATCCTTACCCTCACTGTGACATAATTGGTTGAATGTTATATTGAATCGCACACAGGCCAAACAAGTGGACTTGGAAACATTTTAAACATTAAATAATCTCAAGCCAGTGTCCCAGATGAAATCATTAGTATCAACTGCCAGCTTTTCAGAAAAAAGGCTTAAGAGGATAAAGTAAATATTGTAAATCAAACTTGTGAAATGCATGATTGCTTCAGGAGGAGGTGTCAATTCTGCTCTCTACATTACCATTTATAACCATAATCTTAACCTTGGCAGGAAAAGTTTCAGTCGACATGTGCCGAGACACGTGAAAACCTTCTGTTACAGGTCCAGTGGATATTTGCTGTCATTCATTCAGTTCTGTGAGTATTCTGACATCAGCTTCACTGTTACAAATCTCCTGCTTAACTGTTACAATAACTGGTACAATTTGTATGTATTGGGAATGTAAGCTTAAACTATATACTATATGTAGAAATTACTCAAATGGATACATGTGTAGCCTTCTGCTAATACTCATAAATAATCCACAGCTACAATAGGTTACTTTAAGCAAGGCTGCATCAATTTAGGGAATGTTTTGTGACATGGGTTTTGGCCATAGGCGGCGAGTGGAGCTCAAGATAGGGTAGGCTATTATTTGACCAACAGTGACGTGCGGTGAGGTTCATGGCTGGTGAGGCACTGACTCACTGAGTCAGATTTACAAATATTATATTTTGACCTTAATCGAAATATTCGGTTATTTTCAAAAGCTTTTTAGTCTGATGCTTCGATTCATTTTAAACAGACCGTTCAACAAAAGGATACCCAAAATCTAAATATTGGATTGTTCTTTCTTAGTAAGATCCCATTTTCATTAGAAATGTGGTCTTACCTTGACTTGAAGAAGTGCTATCCTTCTGGACAACAATCTCTATTACTGTTTTGTAAAAGTCCTCCTTATCTTCCTCTAGTTTCAAAAGTCTAGTTTGTTGTTTGCGTCTACTGTCTCTGTGTAGAATAACAGTAGCAACAAGAACCTGTGGGCTCACGTGCGCCCCCTTCAGTGCGGCAGAGGTTATGGCTGCCTCCCCTGGTGCTTTTTTCATTGCCGTTGTATGATGAGACCAGCGAGCCTAAATATCTATACGTGAAATAAGTTATTTAGAGACTATGGATGGCGAGGATAAATGTAATAAAGGGATCTACAAACATTACATTGGTGACATACAGTGAGAGGGTAACAGGCATGCGCTTAGGGCCCGCTTTCCAGCCAGTTTCTGTGGGGTGACGCATTCTGAGATGAGGCAGAGCTCATCTGTGCCTCACCTCGCCCCACAGTAAATGGCTTGAGCGCGCTCACAATATAAGTGCCCGCGCTAAATTAGTGCCCGTGCTCCAGCAAGTTACTGTGGGCTTACGAGAGGCAGAGCTCGTCCCTGCCTCACTTCTCATCGCTCCCGTAGCGGAGCTCGGCAAATTTGCTGATTTTGACTATAAAAAGCGATTGGAATCATACATAAATCACACTTACAACACAGATCAGTGGAGACATTTTATTATTATTACTATTTAGTTTTTCTTTAGTTGTTTTTCCGTTACATTGGAGTATGACAGGTGAGGCTCTGCCTCCCCTGACTGCACGTCGCTGTTGACCAACTACTTACAACATCTTACAACGGAACAGAAGATGTTTTTATGTTTATAACAGCAATTAAATGCAGCTGCTGACCCAATAAGGGACAGCACTGGAGCGACAGGGGACTGGATGTTTTTTGCAGGAGCTAAGGCATTTTGACACAAATAACAGCAATAATAATATTATATAATAGCTTACTAGGATACAGAAAGATGAGATTCTACAATGCCGGACTAATATGCAGCCCTAGGCACACAGCACATGAGAGAACTTGAGAAATATTTGTTGACCCTGCGGCACTAACTGACAGTGTTGATGCAGCTCATGAGACAAAGACAAGTTTCTAAGGCAGCATTTTATGAGTAACGTTAGGCTAGTACGCCACACACGACATGCTGTTACAGTTTCTAAACGCGTCCCCCTGATCCTTCTGACATAGTTAGTGCCCTGACAGTGATACATTATTATTATCTCATCATTCACTAAATGTGTTGATTATAAAAAACGTAGCCTTATACTACAGCCTGATATTTGGAGCCGCTAAACATAATGGATCGTAGCAGTAGCCTGTTTAGGGAACATTGTTGTGCACAACAGAAACAGGACTAATAATTCAGGGAAGGCTTCACCTTCTCTAACCTTCATTACCCGACGCCTCTGGTTTTGGCCGTGTTCCACTGCAACACTGTCCCTGGGCCTTTTTTTCAGCACAAAGAGCAGCTGCTTGTTAAACCTATAGTGTCTACCTTGGTTCCAAGAAACACCAATGACACTCAGAGCATTTAAATTACACGTTAGACCTGTTTCAAATTCATGAGTACAAAGAGTAAAGCAAACAAATCCGGCGAGCCGTGAAAACTAATGTAATAATTAATTTTAGAAAAGATTATTTGTGGGATAGGCAGCGCAGGCTGTTGAACTTGCATGTACATCAACGGAGTTTCACAGAGGCACCAACACCATATTTAGCAAGATGAATCAACACTTTAAAAGGTTTTGATACCTTTACATCTATCAACTTGAAGGTACCAAATCTTTCAAATTAATTGGTCAGCACCATAGCTATTTAAGATGAACAATAAGAAACAGCATTACCCTAAGATCTAATCTGGTGCTTTAGATGTGTTTAGTGTTCTGAAGACTTTGCACAAAAATATACTTTTGAACATGCACATTAAAGGTAGGGTAGGGAAGTTTGAGAAACCGGCTCGAGATCGCTAGAATTTGAAAATACACAACCGGAGAAAATCTGCCACTTCCTTACAGAGCCCCTCCTCCAACACACACAAACGCGCACATGACCAATGAGGGCACGAGATAAGTTTGTGCACAGATGGAAGGCTGACAGGCAGATAGGCCATCCAGTTATTTTAGTTCATTGCTATCGGGATGTTAAGAGCATTCCATGGAATATAACAAAAAGTGTATCTCGAGCCGGTTTCTCAAACTTACCTACCCTACCTTTAAGTATAACACGCCCAAAAAACAGCTAAACTGAATATGTGTACTTACATTTCAACAGATGTGTCCTGATGGAGCCAGCAAGTTATCCAGGGAATCTAAAGAATAAAATAAGAATGAAAGATGAAAACAATCAAAATCATGCTCCGTCTAACAGTGCAAAGAGAGGTCAGTGGGCCAACAAGAGGGAGTTCATTTTGTCAGTATCCGGACAGATCATTGGTCTGGGCAATGTTTGGAGATTTCCATATCTGTGCTTCAAAAATGGAGGTGGTAAGAGCATTTAAAACATCTTATTGTACTGCCCAGGAGTAAGTTAGATAAGTAAAAGCTGAAAAATGTATACCCTTTCATGCATGAATTATGAAAACCTCAGTCAGGATCTTTTTACCAAGTGTTTTTATTGCCCTTGGGGCATGAAAAACAAGATTTGAACTTTATTTTTTTTATATCTAGTTTTTTCAAATTTTGAAAAAAAGATTTTTTATATGTCCACTCAGGTGGACAGTATGCGTTTAAGTTTAAGACATGTACATTTTGAAAAAATGATAAATAAAGATGTGCAAACTTAAAAACATTATAATAATGTAAGTATATTGATTTACGGCCCACAAAGATATTGCAGATTAAGTATTTTCAAGAACAATAGCAGTAACAGTATGAATTGTAGTTGAAATATAGCCAGTAACACTTTAGAGACGTCCACTTTAGTGGACAGGTGATCAATCATAATTTCCTGCAAACATAAAATCAATACTTTGACAATTTATGAATTATATGATTCCTTAGTTGTTCCTTGATGTCACCAACATTGTTATACCTGCAGGGGGCACTTTCCATAAAAGGATTGGCAAGATATCGACGAGTGATTCGGTCCATCTGGCTTTCTGTCGTCCATCGTGGTTTAGAGAAATGTATCATGCACTTACACTGACTTGGCACTGAGTGGCAGTGTGTGGGATGATGCAATAGGCTCCTATGTAGTGGCTGGTGTTCAACTATGCCATCAAAACCCATGCATATAAAAAAAAAACACCTTTTGAATAGTTGTCCACTGTAGTGACCTCTATGCGTGAAAGGGTTAAATCATTTATTCTTTGTATTTTTGTCACTATAGTTTATTACTTGGATACATTATTTCCTTTTAGGAGCTTTCCTGATCCCCTATGTGGTGTTCCTGTTCACGTGTGGAATCCCCATCTTCTTTCTAGAGGTGTCTCTGGGGCAGTTAACGGCTCAGGGTGGGATCACATGTTGGAGGAAAATATGTCCCATATTTGGAGGTACTACTAACATAACTACATATTCCATAGAGTGCCAAAGTATTTGAAATATGTGTATATTGTTACATTACTTTAGTGTATCAAATGTTAAAATGGCAGTTCTATTTTTTTCAAAGGTTTAGGCTACGGCAGTCAAGTTACATTGTTATACAGTGTGGTGTATTACATTGTCATCCTGGCTTGGGCCTTCCTCTACCTCTTCTCCTCCTTCCACACTGTACTCCCCTGGGCCAGCTGCAACAACACCTGGAACACAGGTAAACATCGCACTGATGTTAGTGCAAAGGCCTTATGTAGGTACAGAATGACTGTGAGTGGCCATATGGAGGCAATTAATGTAATCATAGGCATGCTCAATTATGTATGGAGAACCCTTAATATCAACATGGTTGCATATTCTGAAAATGTCAACTTGTTTCATTTTACTCTTTCGCTTCAAGATAACTGCATTGATTGTGGACAGAATGATTCAGTTTATCGCCACATCAATGAAAACACAACATCATCAGTGAAAGAATTCTGGCAGTAAGTACTCACATTCGCAAAACAGTTTTTAGAGTCACTAAATTGTCTCTTGACATAACTTTCTTCTTGCACTCAGGAGGAGAGTCTTGGGCTTGTCTGGAGGAATTGAAGAGATGGGCAGTATCCGCTGGGACCTGGCTGGATGTCTTCTGCTAAGCTGGATCATCTGTTACTTCTGTATCTGGAAAGGAATCAAGGCGACAGGAAAGGTGAGATGTATACGCTTATTATTAAATGGGTAATTTAAACCTAAAATTATAATTAAAACCTAAAAATGAATGGGCTTATTGACCATGATTAATAACAGTATGTATTGGTGCTCCTCTTTCAGGTTGTGTACGTCACAGCCACTTTTCCAGTTGTGATGTTGATTGTGATGCTGATCCGTGGGCTGACATTGCCAGGAGCTTTAACTGGAATTAGATATTACCTTTATCCTGATCCGACCCGTCTGACTGATCCTCAGGTGAGGTTTATGTGTGACTAATGAGTGATGTGTAAGTGACACACTGCACAGAACAATACTTGGCTAACACTTGCAATACTAAAATGTATGGACTTTAACTTAGACCAAAACTAAATATTGGTTAATCATACTAGCAAATGTTACTTGTGAAGCCAAAGGCTGATATTAAATAGCTCCGGTTTTACCCTTGGATTAGAGACACTAGATGGAAGATAAGCATGCCACTTTCAGATGGCTCTAGGTGATCAGTTCAAAAGGAAGGTCATCATACAAGTGTGCAAGCCGTTTTTGTACTAAGTTGTGCCATTTATTTTAAATTCACTTTGCAAAGTTGAATTCACTTCAAAGCCCACCAGAGCTCAACAAACTTTTGGTTCCTTAAAGACACAGTACAAAGGTGTGGGCAGAGCAGCCATGAATTGTTTTTATTTTCAACCAATCTGTGTAATTCAGCCTCTCACCTAATCGCATGGCCAAGTCATTGTAATTCTGGACATTAACGCAGCATTTGACACAGCTTTTTAATAGGAGGTTAGCTGTCAAATCAAGGAGGAAGCAATCTGATTGGTTCTTAGCCGTGATATACTGAGCATATACCACGGGTAGAATTGTAGTTACTTTTCACAACAAGTCAGTATCCCTCCGCGTCTGAGAAAAACTGTATACAGTTGGGCTGAAAAGCAAACTGCTTGCAGTTTGCTTTTCAGACTGGGACAAGAAAACAGCGGAGAAGTAACGGGGCAGAAACCCTCCTTTTTACGCAGCGGTCCAGACATAGACATCAAACGGCAAAACATATTCAGTGTGCAGTTCCTTTGGCATTAGGGCAGGAATATCTAGATACTTTCCAAAGTTTGACATAATGAATTGTGCTACTTTTAAAGCAAGCAACGATGTTTTCAAATCTGTAATCAAAAAGGTCCGCAAAAACGCTATCGACCAATCAGATAGCTTGATTTGACTTGTCCGTTTCATAAATATATTTACATTTCTTCCGTTACGAAACAAACTTACAAAGCATAAGATGGAAACATTTAAGATTAACTTCGACCTCCGGGGGGGTCTTACTATGGAGGAGTGGATTGAGGAGTGCCTATCTCCAGAAAAAAAGCACCTAAACGACGACATGCAGAGCTACGTGAAGAGCAGGTAGACCAACTGGAAAAGTACCCCCATTCAAAAGCTTTCTGATGCAGAAAATGTCTTGAAAGCAGAGAAATTATGACCGTTAGTGGCCACAGGTGCGAAAGCTCTCTCCAGAGCTACTGGAAGCCGAATCTCGGGGACCGGAGAAAGTGGAGCAATATTCTCGCCACGCCAAGCAACAGCCTAGAATAACCTCAACCTATACAAGTAACCACGTAAGCCATTCTACTGATGCTGGACAGTTTTTCAGTGGGTGCACAATAAACGGCAACATACACATTAATGTAAATAAATAGCCAAATTATTGATCAACGCTCTCTGTCTAATATGTTCGCTAGCTGTTAGTGTTGTTGCATAGCAACCACCTCGCACTATGTTTCGTGCAGAAGGCAACGGAGGGACTATTTTATTTTGAACATCATTATTTACTAATAAAACTATTTAAATTAGAGTGTGTATTTTTCTTTCATATTGCCACACTTGGTAACCGTTTTATAAAAGCAATAGCTCACTTCAGGCCGTGGTATATGCTCATTATATCACAGCTAAGGGGCGTGGTTCGGCCCGACGCGAGAGGTGGGTGTTTGTCATCTGCTGGTGGACTACCGGAGAGAATTACAGTGCTTGCCTCGACGGGGAGGGATTGCATTGAATTACAGCAGCAGGAGGCGCAAACGCTTGCCTCGGGGAGGGAGAAAAAGAGCCACAGCGGAGAATAAACAGAAGGGCAGCCATGACAACCATGCGCGGGAAGTCTTCTTCGCTGCTTTTGTGGCAGGCTACAGCGCCACTTACAGGCCTGGCATATGTACTACAGCGTCTCCAGCGCTTTCGAGCGGCAATGGCCGGCCGTGGCCCAACCCCACATTCCCCTGATAGGTGGAGAGTTGGCCATATAGGCGGAGCTCCTCGTTCCTGACGTCAGAGGAATTTCAAATCTGTATCGGTCTGTATCAGATCCGTTGCAGCCCCGTTTTTAGAGATTTGGGTATGGAGGAAAAGAGAGAGGGTTGTGTTTTCTGACACTTGGTGAGTTCCCTGGAACACCGGGGACACATATTCATGTATAAAAGACGTACAAAAGTGCATTTTGCATGATAGGTCCCCTTTAAGTTTGGTGTACCTCAGGGGTTGGTTTTGGTACCAATTATGTTTTCTTTATACAAGCTTTCCCCCGTTGGCACACTATTTATAAATATGTTTTTTTTTATTATATTTGATGCTGATTATATGCAGATGTACCTGCCCTAAGATTCACAAACCCTGGAATGCTGTATTCAACGAATGACTGTCCTTGTGATGTCAAAACAGAGATATTCTGAAATATGATGTTTTCCCATTGGATCATGACAAACATTTTAAGTTTTAAATCATGTTTTTAGGAATTTAGGAATATGTATCTTAGATTTTAAAGACACAGAGACTATTTAAAACGCCTTCATCTGGTCACATCAAAATTGATGATCTGCCAATGAGAAGGTGGAGAAGGTGAAAATACTATTGGGAGTAATAGGGAAAGAGGAACATGTGAGCAGGAGGATGTAGGAGTCAGATAGGACATGTGGGAAAGTCTGAGTACATCCGGAGGAAAGATACAAATTGTGTTAGAGAGTTTCTAAGTCATGCATGGAAGTGGAAATGTGGCTTAAGAGAGGGACAGAAAGGTAGAATTCTAAATGGCTGAACCAAGTACACAGTATAACAAAGTATAGTTGTATATTATACAAGTATAAACATCATATGTATCAATATTTAAAAGCATTTAAAAATCACTGGCACTGCACATTTAACTGATTTAAGGTGTGGATGGATGCTGGGAGCAGAGGTCGCGTTAACCGAATATTTTCCGTCTATGACGTAATTTTTCCAAGAATGACGGAAAACTCTGAAAGCAGTCCGTCATTTTGACAGATTAGAACACAACTCGGAACAGCGCCAAAATGTCCACCAGCGGCCCACATTATATTACATCCTTATGGCCAGGTCGACTGAGGGCGATCTACTGTACTCTACTGTAACTATTATTTAGTAATTCACACCCCTGTCCAGTTGGTGGCGAGTGTGTGCATATTAAGTAGCTATTGTCTAGTCTTGTATTTGACCTCGTTGATTTCCTCGTTGTTTAACCGGCTTTAGCAATCGCAAAATGTCACGGCAGCTGAGTGTCCGAAGCTTTTTTAATAAGCCCAGTAATTGTGATGGTGTGGATAAACGAGGTGAAAGAAGAGGGATTGATGCAGTGGAGGATGAAGGACAAGCCAGTAAGACTAAAACTGACAACGTTCAGCCAGCAGCAGAGGGACAAGCAAGTGGCAAGGAAAAATAAATCATTCATATTCGTTTTGACATGAAAAGTGACCGCACGGTCGGTGTCTCTGTTCATCTTTTTTTTTCTCCATGCCCTTAAAAGTTCTGTATGAATCATAAAAAAAAGGAATGAATGAACATTTGCTGCTTAGTACCCAAACATAAATATTAAATATGTCTCATCATTAAAACATGAAAAATAAAATGACGGGTAATAATGGATTATGACGGAAATGTTACGATCCTGTCCGTCAAAATGACAGACAACGAAAAAGTCTAACGCAACCACTGGCTGGGAGCCAGGTATTATTCTCCTATGGCATTTGCGAAGGCTGTTTGCAAGCAATGGGAAGCTACAACAAATACAACAACAACTGCTACAAGTAAGGAAAATATTATATTCTATGTATGTACATTTTATACATTAAAAGGTTGATTTGATGCAGGATAAAATAGATAATCGGCCTTTTTAATTTCCAGAGACACTTTCGCCTTGTGCGCACTGAACAGTTTAACCAGCTTTGTTGCTGGCTTTGCAGTCTTCTCTGTTCTTGGCTTCATGTCGCATGAATTGGGTGTTGACATCTCAACAGTAGCTGAATCAGGTATGGGATGGTTTGAGGAAAAACATTGTGGTGTATATTAGCTTTGTTGAGTTCCTATGAAAAATATGAAGTGATGAATAAATTGTTTTGTTTTTTTCAGATGAAGAGAACAAATATATAATTCACAACTTAACAAATTCAAGTCTCACAATAACATGTGAGAAGAAACACTTGGATTTTGGTCCCCATATGTCATGTGGGACCTCACATCAATGTGTGCTGCAGGGTTCTTTCAATTATAATTCACAAGAACATCATTCTTGTACCTGTAAAGTACTTATGAGGACCCTCTACTCTCTAAATGTATTCCTTATTTCCTAAACATAATCCAAGATAAAATCTATTAATAAATCAAATCCTGCAGCACCTGATATTTTGACCCATTGGCGGCAGCAGAAACTCGCTGTAAACACAACACAGAAATATTATCACCTTTTTTACGACCAGTGTGTATGATAGTGCCATCTCGTGGTTAGATTGCATTTTGCAATCTACTGAATACCAGCTGGTGTACATGGGGCCAGAAATAAAAGATTTCACTGGACACAAACTAAGCAGGTTCTGGTCTAATTCCAACCTTAAAATCAGGTGCTATATATAGAAATTATAAGTGTACTAATTCCTAAGACATTTGGCTATCTACTTGCAGGTCCTGGCCTGGCATTCATTGCTTACCCTCGGGCTTTATCCATGATGCCTTTACCTCAACTCTGGGCTGCCTTCTTCTTCATCATGATTATCCTTCTTGGATTGGACAGTGAGGTAAAGTTTTCACATTCAGCTGTATTTAAAATATACTGTACATAAGAATTGTATAACATTTGGTTATAAGCCCCCCTGATACTTTAATTATAATTAAATTCCTGCATGAAAAGACAACATCAATATATCTCTATTTCCTTTTACTTTTGATTGATTTGTATTGCTTTTCATGTGCAAATATTCCATAAGATATTTTCAATGGTTGTGTCTTGTGATATCTAGATCTAGAGATATTAAGTATCCAAATACATAAAAGATATAAGCAATCAGGCTTAAGTTACAGTAAATGCTTGGACAGAATATGCACTGCCTTGTTGGTTGAAGTCATGAAGACTAAAACATTTCCAAAAGTCTTAAAGGTCTCCTATCATGCAAAATGCACTTTTTGATGTATTTCATACATAAATATGTGTCCGAGGTGTGTAAGGGAACTCACCAAGTGTCAGACAACCAGCAGCTACTGACCCAGAATCAGCACTTCTCTAACAGGGCTGAAAAAGAGGGATATGAGGGATGTCTAAAATGCATGATCTGTTTGGTATTTTGAGCAAAACACATCATAGACATGTTTTTTATATAATTTTTATATATCTGAGACCCATAATATATGCCTAAAAATAGCATAATAGGAGACCTTTAAGACCTGAGAATGGCTAGAAACTTAATTGTTATAATCAGTGTAGATAAAATGTGACATTTATTTTTTACCCACAGTTTGTGTATCTGGAAGGCCTGGTGACAGCCATATCAGACATGTTTCCATCCTTCTTTCTCATTGGTCATCGACGTAAACTACTTCTGTTGATCATCTGTGGTGTTTCCTTTGTTATTGGCCTGTTTATGGTGACTGAGGTGAGAGTCTACTTTTTTAATCTATAACATTAAGAATTAAAGGCTGTACCATTAAGTCTCTCTTTCCGTGCTAAATATGTTGTGCATTTAACAAAACAATCTATTTTGTGTTCCTGTTTCTGTCTTCTCTGTCATGTGCTGTAGGGAGGACTTTATGTATTTCTGCTGTTTGATTACTATGCTTGCAGTGGAATACCATTAATGATTTTTGCCATTTTGGAGTGCGTCTGTGTGGGATGGATATATGGTAAGCAACAAGATCATTTTAAGCAAGGAAAATTAGGAGTCCAACAGACATACAGTATATATATGTTAAGTAATGTTAGCCCCTAAAACTATACCATTATGAATAACAGTGATACTGTAAAATATTACAAATCATGTTAACAAAGCATTGTATTGATATTTGCTCATTTTACTCACTTATCACGTTTTTTTTCATCTGCACTGCATAAGTAACCAGAGGGCACTGCTAAAGCCATTAAAACATTTGAACAACTGCCTGGAGGGCAGAACATTTCCCGCCTATCTGTGAGGCCAGTACTATCTTACACATTAACTTAGCTTTCATTCCTCTTGGACCAAAAGAAGAAAGACTTGAGACCGTTCTCAGGAATGTAATGGACTCAGTAGTAGTGCTGAAATTCTGCCCCCTTTTCCTCATGAGCACGTGGCCAGGCATCAGACCTTGCCCTTTTATATCGTGATGTAGATGAATCCCAGTGTTTGATCATATTCTTGAATGACTCCCTGACTACAAGGTGCTGATCGTTATTATGACAATATAAAGGAAATGATTGGCTACTACCCCTCATCGCTTATGAAATATTGTTGGAAGTTCATCACACCATGTCTCTGTGTTGTAAGTAAATGTATTGAGTATTGTTGTATCTGTTTAGACGCAAAGACAAATTTAAGACATTCACTGGAAAAATATCACAATGACAATAACATAAATATATTTATATATCCATTGATGAAAACGTAAGCTGTTCCTCTGATTTTCTTTTTATTCCACTTGTTTTGTCACAGGGAACCCTGATATTCTCTATGGTCAAGTTCACCCCGCTGAAATACAACAGCACCTACGAGTACCCCTGGTGGGGCTTTGCCATTGGGATGGGTCTTGGTTTGTCTTCAGTTCTCCTGACTCCTCTGTGGATTATCTATCGTATGGCTGTAACCCCGGGAACACTGAGACAGGTTAGTCAGTGTGTCAACCCAGCTTCAATAAAGGAAATTAGCATTGTATTATTTAAGTTTAACAAGTGTAACAATTTGTTGAATATGTACATACCTGAAAGCTACATATATCTATATCCAAACCCTTCCTTTTGAAGTTCCTTTAAACAAAACTTTATTTTCCTTTTAATTTATTTCTATACTCTGTCAATACGTTGTTACATATGTTCTATGTGAAGGGACTGACCACAATTTGAACCATTACACAAGCCACATTTGTGTGGGCTACTGTTATTTTATGGTTTATGCTTTGATGTATGTTTCCCATGCAATTCTTTGTTTTTTTAGAGACTGAAAACGTTATGCACTCCAGCGTACGATCTGCATTCTTCACCAAAGAAGACTCTTTACCCAGAAACCCCTCCTCCTGATACAGAGCTGCATGCTTTAACTTAAAAACCAGAACATGGCATAGACATTGGAGATTTGATGCTCTCAGATTAAACAGTTACAAACTAAATCAAGGAAATCTCTACCTCAATTTTGTGGCTAAATGTTTGTTTGTACTTGTTCATATGTGTTTGCTAGAATCAACATTGACATATTTTTTGTTTCAACGATGGCAAAGTACAGTATCACCTTTATGTTCACTGTGGGTCAAAATTAAGTTACATGACATGTGTTCAACAACATCTACAGTACAATCACTGACAGCCTGGCACGGTTCTCAAGTGTGTCCAGCAGAGGGGGATAGATGTTAGATATTAAATCACAAATCCACTGTCCCATCCAGTCTGAGTAGTTTAGAGAACTTCCTTCATACTATGTACATTATCATCAAAGATCTCCATTTCAGTGTGTTGGTTTATTTTGAATAAGGGTGCATGATAACCAAACATGTTGCTGGCCGGTTTGTTTTCACTGTGAGGGAAAAAAGAAGAAGCCTAAAGACCTAAACTAAAGAAAAACCAACACACATCTTGCGCTTTGCATTATTTTGACGTACCACAGAATGCATGATACAACAAGGATGATGTCACGGCATCATTTACATTTCCCAGGAGATTGGGATAGTGTTGGTATGTACAAAATAATAATACAAAAATATATATATGTCTGCATCGACTGCATCTCGCTGTCATCTGGCATTAATCTATATGCAATACAAAATACTAAATTATTATTATTCTCATTATTGTTATAAACAACTGATGCACCTCAATTTAGTTTCCCATAATTCAAATAAGTCATTATTAATAATGATGGGGAAAAAAAGGTAAAACATTGCTTTATAATTTAATACAAATGCAACATTTATCTGTTATGTGAACAAAGTGCAAATTAATTAACTTTAAGGTAAATACACAAAGTTGAGCCTACTATAGTTATTTTACATTGAATATTCTTTAATTTCCTCTCCTCTTTATCTGGTTGTTGACATTGATATCATACTTTTAAATATCACTGAGCATCTATAAAACCATCATCTACCAAATTGTGAGCTAAAATGTCACAGCAACTGAAAAACTGAATCACATTTTGTTAAGATCCAACTGATAAAAATAAAACTGAAGTATACAATACAAATTCAAACAGATGCACTTGTATCCGACAGGCCTACAAATTATCAAGGGACACTTTCCAATAACGTACTTTTCTTTGCAAATTTAACACGGACCAACCGCTGGGAGAAAAATGGGACAAGGTGTGCAAGCTGAAAGATTTAAGACTGTGTGACAACCGTGATAAATGCAGCAGGCACTGACACGGCTACGGAAAAAGACAAAAGATACCTTTGTCTTGTCACAATAATCCTAATCTGTTTGAAGATGTGGGCCACATTACCAGAGAGAAAGTAAGAAAGAACATACAGGGGTGGAAGCAGATTTGTGTTCAGCAGTGATAAATGTTGCTACATCAGAAACCACGCTCTGTATGATGTTCTTTCTAATGGCCTGATTGCTCAATTAATTCTGCGGCCCGTTCTTTGCCAGCCCCCTTTAATGTGGAAACGGCTATATTTTCTCCCAGATTAGTATAGATACAGGCTGACAGTCTGCACTGCTCAAGGTATTTGGGAGGTATAATTCATTCATAATGCCACAATGCGCCCCATCTATCATCTCAGGTTTTCCGTCCGCTAACGTGCCGCTTGCTCCCTCCTCTCATTCCAAGCTCCTGGCTCTTCTGGGGCAGCAGGGGGGGGGGCGGGGGGGGATGTGTGTGTTTGTATGTGTGCATGAATATATGCGATTTAGCAATGTGAGGTTGAAATGTGAGAGGTGTTAAGACATGAATTGTGTGTGCATGTTTGGGGCATGTGGGGGCGGTGGGGCATGCAAGGTTGTGAGGTCGGCAGCTTCTCTTCTCTTGATGAATTAGCTGGCATATGCAAGCGATGAATTACCAGGCAACCAGAGTCAATTATCCTGAGGAAAGAACATGGACCCTGTGCTTGTGGCCCCAGGGTCCTTTTTCCAATTCAAAGAGTGATTTCCCCCAAAATGTAGAAGGGAAGCAGACTTGAAGTACCCAGGGTTAGATGATGAGGAGTTGAAAAATAAAGAAGAGAATGAATGAAACTGCATTATATGTGTCCCCTGCCATCCTACACCTCCCCCCCCCCCCCCCCCCCCCATCTTTCTCTCGCTCCCCGATCAAATCCAGAAGGCAAAGCACAGTGTGGAAATGCAAAAGGCTATTATCAGGCCTTCAGAGTGCGCAAATGCCACTTATGATGGATGAGTGTGGGATTTAGAGAGGCCTCCTGTCAAACACCAACCATTTACCCTCCTTAACCCACCCTCTCTTTTTCCTCACTTGTCTCTTGTATCAAAACTATATCAGGCCCCTGGTTGAAATAGGCCTAAGTGGAAGACATTTGTAATATATTGAGGAGGGTATACACACAAATGCACTATGGCCCCTGCTGTTTTTGCCATTTAATTTCTAACCTTTGGGAAAGATGGAGTGCTTATTACATTTCTGAGAACAAGAGGAAAGGTGTCACATCATATGCTGTCCATGTGACACTGGTACAGAATGACATAGGGAAACTGGACCATAAGCAGGAATCTTGGAGGGTTTTTAATGTTGTGAAGGTGTTTTAAGTAAAGTTAGAACACATGAGACTGAGAAAAGGAAGCCCTACTTTAGGAAACCAAGTGTAGGAATCAAGAGATACAAAATAACTGCTCTATTTCCTTATGCAGAAGACAATTACTCTTGGAGTCTACTATATTATATCCGCTGACATCAGTCCAAATCATTGGATAAACCTGGCCAAGAGTTGCTTTCGATAGACCAATTTAATCCCAATGGTTGGACTCGTAGTGTAACCAAACTGCTTTAACAGTTTAAGAGAAAAGAGGATAATATAAGATCATAGTGTGCAGGCTCAGCCAAACGTCATTAACAGTTTTTGAATCCCAAACTTCATGACTGCCAAAAGGAAACACAATACCATTAACAAAAGATTCTTAAGTTATAGGCCGAGTACAGTAGAGTGAAGAGATGGAGATGGAAAAGAGGGATATACGCATAAAACAAAATACAATTATGTTCTAAAGTTTAGCTGGCACCAATAATGGCCTCCACCGCATTATGAAGGAAATACTTTCAATGAACCCTTGACATAAGTCGTGGAAATGGTAGGCTCACAAATATGTTAAGCAATACAAAAAATCTTAAATAGAGAAACAAATAAATGCATAGAATTTGTATCCAACATCCTTTATGTAAATGGAGGGGTTCACTCACTTGAAAACACAGTAGCACTAGCCAGAATTCTGCATGACATAATCTGATAGTATATTTATTTTCACAATAACAATTAAACTATTGGCTAACTCACAGCACAGAACATGCCTCCCAGTCTCACGGGTCAGTTAAACACCACATGCTGTAATTAAAAGTATGCCAACAAATGAACAAGTATACAGTATAGTCCAAATACATTTCAGTGGAAATGTCCAAATGCGAGCAACCCAAGATAAAGTAACTTGACCTAACCCACTACAAATAATAAAATTTAAAAAAAAACAGCCTAAAGTAAATCAAATTTAACACATGAATGGTAGAGTTGATGGAAAGGAACCTGAGCTCAGATCAAAAAGATAGTTTGTGTTGGCAGAATATCTAACACAGTGGGTTATTAATGACGATAATCTGCAGACATGCCAAAACAATTGTGAATAACATCATACTGTGACATATAGGAAGCACAGCTGAAGCTAATTGCACTAACGAGCTGTTACTGTACTGTATGCCAGCACCTGCAGTAGTAGGGACACTCTTTAGTGTCTGCTAAAAAAAGCAATCTGATACATACAAGTTACTAGTGAAAATAGAGGAAAAGTAAGTCTCACAACACAACAAAGGAAACAAATAGGTACAAAATATACATATATAATGAAATGTTAATACATAGTTGCCTTGATTAAAAAATAAGCAGATAGATAGGGTTGATCAAAAACCTACGTGAGTCATGCTTCACTTGCTCCTGTAACTCAATGCAATCTCTCATTTGGCATTTCTTTCTTTGATCTTTCTAAAATAAAAATAAACAAGGTCCGTGGGTTTGTTGTACAAGACCAAATGGCATCAACAGCAATATTTACTATCGCAAGTTGAAACCTTCATGTATCGCCAAATGATGTAACACAATGGTAATGAGCCTGTTGTTCACTGATGAAAGCCCTTTTACATTTACATTATTAAGAAGAAGGTGTCTATAACAACATTTCTGGGGGAAATCAGAGCTCATCATTGGGAAGTGAGTTTCCAATATTACTGCCTATGGCCATAGGCCCCTCCAACAAGAACAACATTGAAATCTCCGAAAAATTCAGAGCTCAAATGAACAAAACATTTGTAAATCTGTTCTGAGGCTGTATTTTCAGTATAGCATCGCGACAAATGTCAATTGGATTCTGAATGAGGTTTTTCTAACTGTGGATACCCAGGTCATGTCCTAGGCATTGTTTCAGGGCATTCTGGAGATTTAACAATCTGAGGTGTCTTTCTGTAATTATACATGAATTATATGGGCTGTATATTCAAGGCTAATCAGATATTCTTTAGAGACAATATCTTAAAATGAGGTGAAATTTGTTTGAGTTTGGTACGATATGTGTTGTGTCTCTCCTGACTTCATATTGAGATAATTGTCTCTACGCCTTACTGATTCCAGTACAGCTTTCCAGACTGGTGGTGCGTCTCTGCTACTCTCTACCGTCAGTTTCCCTCTGGGACTACCAGCCCCTTCACATCCTCTATTACCCCCTCACACACCCTTACATCCTCCTACACACACTCACACACATACACATCACCTCCCTCCCGCCCCGCGGCGACATGCGCTCCACAATGGAGAACAGAGTGGTTTGGGAAATGATGGCCATTTATAACTGCCTGATGCTGTATCCCACTGCCCCACACACACACACACACACACACACACACACACACAC